TTGATTGCAACTACACGGCCGTCTGCTAAAATTCCTTTGTAGACTGTACCGAACCCTCCTTTGCCAATGATTCTAGTCTCATGATAATTTTTGGTGGCCTTCTCAAGTTCTCCTGTCGTGAAGATTTTTGCCGTTTCATGAGAGGATCCTTGCCGTTGTGAAAGTTGCTGTTGTAGCATGATTCCTCCATTTCGCTTGAAGAATTTTTCCTTTAGCTTCATGAGCTTCCATCTTTTGTATCCCAAATACAACCAAGAGCTGCCCATTAATAGGGACACGAGGCCTACGCCGATTCCTACATATCCAACAAATTAATTGTAAACCCTGGTACGTAGTTAAAACCAAATGAAATGAGTATGTATTGCTATCTAGACCATATGTGTAGACCATCTTTTTCATCACATCTCTAACGAAGTTTGGATTCTTTAAAAACATGTAGAAAAGCATTGAATCACTTGTTAGTACATATGTGCATGCATGCTTACCAACGACAATTTGGATAACAAAGGTCGGATCAGGGGTGCAACCTTCTCCTTTTATTCTACCATCACCATAGTACCCCTTGTGGCAAGAACAAGTATGGTTTCCCTCCGTATTTATACATTTTTGCTTGCATGTATTGAGGTCTGGATCCTTACATTCATCAGTGTCTGCAAAAACAACATAACCCATGCTCAGAAATTAAGCATATTATTTTAATTAGTAGTACTAATAAAGTGAAATAGAAATACCGTAGCAGTCATTTAGGTATGGATTCCCTTGGTAACCGTCCTTGCACTTGCAGCGATACCCGTATCCATTCTCAAAATCATTACACGTGGTGTTGCCCTGGCATGTGTAATTCATCACTTGTTTCTTCTCAACAACGTTGGTGCATGGCTCATTTCCAACTGACCAATCGAGTACCACCGGAAGTTTTGCATTTATCAAATAATCCGACCACAACATAGTGCGGTTGAAGTTGAACTTGCCCTCTTGGACAACGAAGGCAAAGCTACAAGGATTAAAGGAGGACACATTCTTATGATTATAATAACTCCTTGCACTTACATCGAAAGAAGTCATTCCTTGAGCAATGGGTGTTTTACAACAGCCGATACCAGTGCAGGAACCATTGACAACGTAGTCAATGCTGTCACATATTGTAGTGCACCCACCAGTGTACCCGTAGTTTCCATTTTTGTTTCCCACAATGTACGCATAGGTGTCACAACCTACTGCGACAAACACGTTGTCGGTGTTTGATATGAAGAATTTGGAAAGATTGAGAGAATTGGAGAAGCCGGCGGTCGTCGGCTGACCTGATTTTTCGTAACATTGTGCGGCTGTGTATAGGGTAATGTAAAGCTTCCCTTCCACGGATATGTTTGTGACTTCAATCGAATCACTCTTTCTAAGAAATGGTTTTGGGGGGTCATAATCTATGCCATTGCAAGTAATGAGGAAATCCTGATTTAAGTAACAGCCCTCTTTTGTACCAAATGGATATGGGATGCTAACATTCCCACATTTGTCTTGACAACCCGGCTTGACTTCTACTTGACCGGGAGGAGGAGGAGAAGGAAGAGGTGGAGAGGTTAATTGTGTTTGGGCTGAAGTGGCTGCTGCTAATAGTACCTGTGTTACTATTAGGAGGATGATAAGTTGCAGAAGCATTTTTTGTTTGCTCATGGTCATGGCTTCTAAGTTTTTGTTGTTGAAAAAAATGAGATGTTTTCGTCCTTTTATTGGTAGGGAGGAGGAAGACTTGGAGAGGAGACTTGTGAATTGATTGAGCAAACCTTGGAATGGATACCTGCCATAACTTAGTTATGACGTGTTACTAATTCTTTCGTGGACGTGGTTCATTTTGAAAATCAGACAAAATATAATAAATATCATCAAACAATGTAAGTCTGAGGAGACGTGGTTCATTTTGAAAATCAGACAAAATATAATAAATATCATCAAACAATGTAAGTCTGAGGAGAAAACATTACCTCTTATAACTACACTACACTAACTATATCTACGTATATGCTAACCATTACAACTCGGGACTGTAATTATCACGTCCTCGATCTCTACGGAACTTCGGACGGAACTTCGGACTTACTCAATGTACGAATCTTCCAGATGGATTTGTAACCATACATGTTAATGAATCAAAACAAAACGTAGTTCTACAAGTCATTACTGGGAATCAAGGTGGTTGAAAGAGTCCACCATGACTTTAAACGTAGTCTACAAGTCATTACTGGGAATTAAGGTGGTTGAAAGAGTCCACCATGACTTATGGCTTGGTAGAAAATACCCAAATTTTGATATGATCAAGCTAAGTGACTCACGAACGTCATCCAACTGGAATTACTCCAAAATTCGTCCATTTGATCCTGTTTTGCTCCAGAGGAAGTCGGAAGTCCTATATTGAAAATACAATTCAAAGTATCAAAATTCTTCTAATATATTAACCAAAATATACTAAGATTAGGGTAAAATATATAATATAAAATCTACTCATCAGTATTCCTTTTCACTTGTAAGTGAGAGATCTTAGGTTCGTTCTTGCCAAAGACACATTTGAACCACATTATTATGGCAAGCCCATTATAAAGCTTATCTCACTCCCTTAGTGTAGATATATCGTTTGTTCAAAAAAAGACATGACTAGTCGAGTCTATTTAGTCAGCTATACCTGCCAAAGTTGTTACAATCCTTACTAATGTTAAAGGTTTTGTTTGGTGTATCGAATTGGAATACTCACTAGCCTGGAAGTATGTTGAATGAAGAATTGAATGTAAGCTTTTAAACTGTATATGTTGAAGGTAAAAGATAAATTAGTCACAAACTTTGAATAAGGGATTGGAAATCAATTATGCTAGTTGATGTACTAGCTGATCAACCAAAGTACTTAATTTTCTGCTGGGCCAATGTAAATTGCGATGGGTTTTATCATCGTGTTTCATTCGTTTTGAAGAATTCAAACGAAGTCACTTTTAATTACTCTTTAGTCTAGTAGTTGTTTTCACTTCATTGAAGGATCTCCGTGTTTGAACCTAGTTAATTGGACTTAACTAATTATGATAAGTTTAAATATATTGTTAAATTAAGAATTAATTAGAGTTAATATTTCAATCAAACACTACCCTTAAAAAGGAGGACATGTTAGGGCTAGTTTGGCATTGTTAAAATTATTTTAAAAGCAGTTTTTTGAAAAAGCTGTGGCCAAAGTTGTGTTTGGTAAATGAAATGAAAAAAAAAGTGCTTTTTGTTAAAATCGTGGGTCCAAAACAACAGAAAGCAGAAGCAATTTTACCCCTACTTTTGAAAACAACGTTTTATTTCACAGCACAGCTACTCCAAGCTAGCCTTTAGGGTGGTGGATGAATGAGGATCCTCTCTGGATCTTCTTTGTGAGGATTCGGGGATCCATGAATCGTGTCCGTTCATCGTACATCGTGCGGTCATAAATCATTTTAAATTTTTTTATTTAAAATTGAAGACAAACAGTACCTGACGAAACTGACCGCACGATATACGATAAACAGATATGATTCACAGATCTCTGGAATCCCCACAAAAAGGATCCATATTTGTGGTGGATAACCCAATTTGGAGTCTAAACTGGGATATTACGGTTACCAGCTGATGCCCTTAATAGGTGGAAATCAGTTAGGGTGTAAATCGAGGTAAAGAAGGTCCCTGCTCATAAGAAATATATATGTTCTTTACAGAAAAGCCCTATTACCACTCACCAGTAAAAGTAAAAGGTTCTCGTGTGAGTAGAAGCTCTTCTTTGGTTTTCGTCCATGGCTTCTTAAGTAGGCAGTTCATCCTTATACCTTTAATATGCTTCTATTATATGCTTCATCTTCAAGTAATGCTTATCGATACTTCCCCACCCTCTTAATGTAAATAATATTATTAGTTCAAAAAAGTAATGGTTATCGATTAACTACTTCTCTAATTATGATATATGTGATTAACGACTTCCTAATAAATTAAGGATTTACTATGTATGTGATCTAACACTCCAAATTTTGACCTATGAGGAAATCAAGATGATGATGAGTTCGCTGCCTTGTGACTAACTCATGGTGACGGCATAACTCTGGTGAAGGCGTATTATCCCGTTACGATACAGCTTAGACTGCTTTACAAATGTAGTTTTCCACCTTTTTGTTTCTCTTGTCTGATCAGCTCTTCTTTTTCTGTGAAGCAATTGGTCATAGTAAAAATTGTCAACGTAACTCCAAATGGTTTAACTCCCAGCTGCAACCACCTACAGTAGCAGCTGTTAGTGATTGTGTGTTTTCTGTGTATTTCAATGGAGGTTTTCTGCAACCTTCGAAATTGACAGAGAATGTAGAGAGAATTTCAGAGAGAAGATGATAGAATAATTTCTAATGATTTTTTCACACACTACTAACATGTGTGTGTTTGTTACCGTTATACAAGGAAAGGAAGGGAGATCCTTCACTCACCAAACCAAGATACAATCTCAACCCTTAATTGCTATCACCCTATGAGATGATATGTCACTTGTCTTAATCTATTACTTAAGCTAGATACAAGATTGAGCTGCCATATGGACTATGATCCAATGGCTCAGATTCAAACTAAAAATACATAACATTTAAATTGATCTTTGCCGCCAAGCTTCAGTTGAAGGGTTACACACCAACACTCCCCTCTAACCTTTTAGCTGATTTAACTCCGAGTAGCTCCCTTAGATATGCAAATCGATCTTTAGACAAAGCTTTAGTGAGTATGTCTGCAATTTGCTCCTCAGTCTTGCAGTACACCAGTTCAATCTCTTTGGCTTGGATTGGTTCTCGAATGAAATGAAATTATCTGCTGATGTGTCTTGTCTTTTGTTGAAGAAGAGGGTTCTTTGCCATAGCAATGGCTGATGTGTTATCACACATGATCTGAGTTCCTTCCACTTATTCTTCTCCAGAATCCTTAAGTACAAACCTCAGCCATTTTGCTTGAGAAATAGCTTCTGTAGCACTAACATATTATGCTTCTGCTATGGACAATGCCATTATGCTTTGTTTGATCGATGCCCATGAGAATACACCGGATCCTAGTGTAAATGCAAACCCTGAAGTGCTCCTCATATCATCATCACTTCCTGCCCAGTCATTATCACAGTAACCAATTAGAGTAGTTGTCTTCCCCTTTTCAAAAACAATTCCAAAGTCAATTGTTCCCTGAATGTATCTCAACACCCTCTTTCTTGTCCCCATGTGTTTCTTGGTAGGATTATGCATGAATCTTGCCAATAGACTTGCTGCAAACATCACATCAGGTCTAGTTGCAGTCAAATAGAGCAAGCTTCCCACAATCTGCCTATATTCTCTTTCATTTGCAGCTTCACTTCCATCAATCTTGCTCAATCTTTCATTCATTGCAAGTGGAGTAGCTACTGCTTTGCAGTCTTTTAAACCAAACCTCTCAATCAACTTCTGTGCATACTTCTTTTGGTGTATGAAAATACTCTTCTCAGTTTGTAACACTCCCATTCCAAGAAAGTGGTGTAACAATCCCAAATCTGTCATCTCATAGTGCTTCATCATGTCATCTCTAAACTCTTCAAGCATTTATGGACTGCTACCAGTGTATACAATATCATCTACATATAAGGAGACAATAATGATACCTGAATCCTCCCTTGTTTTAACATACAAGGTTGCTTCACTTGAACTCTTCTTGAAACCAGCACTGTTGAAATATGCATCAATTTCATCATACCAGGCCCTTGGTGCCTGTTTCAATCTATACAGTGCCTTATGCAGTCTGTACACCTTAGTTTCTTCATTCTCCTTCACAAAACCTTGTGGTTGTTCAACATACACTTCTTCTTTTAATACTCCATTGAGAAACGCAAACTTAACATCCAATTGATACAAGTTCCATTTCTTCTCTACATCAAGGGTAATCAAGGTTCTAACGGTATCTAACCTTGCCATTGAGGCAAATGTTTCATTGTAGTCAATTCCAGGCTTTTGTGAATAGCCCACCAATCTATCTTTATTTTTCTGCACAGTACCATCTAGATTAAGTTTGGTTTTATAAACCCACTTGACACCAATGACAAGCTTGTCAAATGGTCTCTCAACAAGCTGCCATGTATTATTCTTTTTTATCATTTCCAACTTAGCTTCCATTGCCTTCCTCCATGATTCATCTTTAGCTGCATCATATTAGTTTTCAGGTTCAACAATACACATGTAGCACTGAGCCATAATTTCATTCACACTTTTCCACTTTTTTGGTGTAGAATCATATACTTGAGACCTGTCAATCATACTTTCACTTTGAGAAGTAACAGGTTGCTCAGAATGAGAACTTTCACCAATTTCACAGATCTCATTAACACTTTGATACTCAGTGATAGCTGGAAATCTCACTTCATTACTGGTAGTGCAATTCTAATCCCAGGAAGCATTCTCATCAAATGTAACATTTCTTGATAGAATGATCTTCCTTGAAATCAGATCATACAACATGTAACCTTTCTCACTAGCACCATAGCCTACAAAGATGCACTTATGACAGTTTTCTTCCAACTTGTGTCTGAGATTTGAAGGAATGTGAACATAACAAAGTGAACCAAAGATCGTCAAATGAGCTATCCCTGGTTTTCTGACACTATAAGCTTCAAATGGAGTTGTTTTCTTCAATGCTTTGGTAGGACACCTATTAAGCAAATAAACTGCAATGTTCACTGCTTCTGCCCAAAATACATATGGAAGAACCTTTTCATGTAACATTGACTTTGCCATTTCCACCACAGTCCTATTCTTTCTCTCTAACTCTCCATTTTGTTGGGGAGTGTAAGCCATAGTCAACTGTCTTTGAATTTTTAGCTCACTGCATTACTTGTCAAAATTTGCAGAAAGGAATTCTCCCCCTCTATCACTTCTGAGGAATTTAACCTTATATCCACATTGCTTTAAATTTCTTAAAACACACCAATGCATTAGACTTATATCGCAGAAAGTACACCCATGTCATCTTGGTACAATCATCTGTGAATAACAGAAAATACTTGTTTCCAGAATGAGTTTCAACTTGCATTGGACCACAAATATCTATGTGAATCAATTATAGTGGATTCTTAGCTCTCCAAGTTGATTTAGAGGGAAATGAATCCCTGTGTTGTTTTCCCATCATACAACCCTCATATACACTTGTGGACATTTCCAAGTGAAACAATCCATGCACCATTTCCTGTTCTTCAAGCAACTGGAGACTTCTCTCATTCAAATATCCCAATCTCTTATGCCATATATGAGAGCAATGGGTGACATTAGCTTTTAGTGCAAACTGTGTTGCAGGCATCATTGTCAAAGGAAAAGATCTATTATTAATCATTTGTACTCTCACTACCAAATTGTCAAGTGACCAGCCATAAAAATTATTCACTACATTTCCTCCAAACACCACGTAATAACCATGTTCCATCATCTGTCCAACACTGAGAAGATTCTCCTCGAGTCCAGGAACAAACATCACTTCTTGTATGTGTTTTCTTCCCAATTTGGTATCTATCACCAGCGTTCCTTTTCCAGCTACTTGTACAATTTCTCCAGCTCCCATCTTCACTTTGGAAGTCAAATTTCTCTGGATATTGACTAACAACCTCTCATCACCTGTCATGTGGTTACTGCAACCACTGTCAATATACCAAGAGTTATTAACCTTCACATCTGTCATTGCATTACAAACATAAAACAGTGATCTTGTCTCTCCCATTTGCCTTGCATAATTAACCTTCTGCACTCCATTGTTCTCATTACAATCCTTCACAGCATGACCTGGTTTCCCACACCCTGTACACTTTGGTTTTCCTTCATACAAACATTTCCCATAGTGGAACCTGTCGCACCATTTGCAATCTCCATGAGTGTTGTTTTGTTTCTGAGCATAATTAGGCCTATGATCCCAATTTCTCTGAGCATTATTTTTCCTCTGAGCATAATTAGGCTTGTGATCCCAATTTCTCTGAGTGTTATTCTGCCTATGGACAAAGTTAGGCTTGTGATCCCAACCTCTCCCTCTTGGTTTCCAGTTCTCTTGAGATCTCTGATTCCCAGAGAATCCACCACTTCTGGAACTCTTAGTTGCAACATTTAAACTTGCAAATGCTCTCTCAGTAGAAGACTCAGCATATAAATCAAGCCTCTGCTTGAATCCCTTGAGAGAAGCAACAACTTCTTGGACCTCAAGAGTGTCGAGATCTCTAGAATGCTCAATCACAAAACAAATTGCATAATATGTTTTTGGAAGATTGATTAGTAGTTTCTGCATAATTCTCTCCCTAGATAGTTCTTCTCCATAACTTTCCATTTGATTAATAATATCAAACAATCTAGAGAGATATATAGATAATGATTCACTATCCTTCATACGAGTATACTCAAAATCTCTATGTAACCCTTGCAATTTTTCATTTCTTACTTGTTTATCTCCTCCGAATTCACCCTTAAGAACATCCCAAGCTCTTTTGGATGTCTCTTCATTCACGATTCTAGGGAAGATCTGATCTGAGACAGCGCCTTAAATCATTCCAAGCGCATGAGCATCCTTCATCAGAATCTCACTAAATGACACCACCTCCGGCGTCTTCTTCTTCGTCTCGTTGACCACAACTTTCTCAATCTTCGGATCTGGAGGTTCAAACCTATTTTCAACCAACTCCCACAAACCATACGATTTCAGTATGGTTGACATGCGAATCCTCCAAAACTCATAGTTCTCTCCATTGAACACTGGGGCTCTAAGCTCGGCACTACTTGATCCAGCCATATTAGACTTGGATTCAAAGAAATCGCGATTTCCAGATTCAATTTGAGCTTAAAATACAGCTCAAACGCACTCACAAATTTCACGCCTAGTTTAGACAATGAAACCTGGCTTTGAGGCCATGTTAGTGATTGTGTGTTTTCTGTGTATTTCAATGGAGGTTTTTTGCAACCTTCGAAATTGGCAGAAAATGTAGAGAGAATTTTAGAGAGAAGATGATGGAATAGTTTCTGATGATTTTTTTCACACACTACTAACATGTGTGTGTTTGTTACCGTTATACATGGAAAGGAAGGGAGATCCTTCACTCACCAAACCAAGATACAATCTCAACCCTTAATTGATAGCACTTTATGATACGATGCCACTTGTCTTAATCTATTAATTAAGCTAGATACAAGATTGAGCTGCCATATGGACTATGATCCAATGGCTCAGATTCAAACTAAAAAACAAAACATTTAAATTGATCTTTGCTACCAAGCTTCAGCTGAAGGGTTACACACCAACAACAGCTTTATCCTGCAACCAGGAACGAAGCGGAAGCTATGTTATAACTCATGAGTTTTTAGGAAACTTGTTAGCTTTTGTTGAAAGACCGTACTCTTTCAGAGAATGCTTCCATCTCTCTCTGATCGAACCAGCCTGTGAATCAACTCATGGAGCTACTAACAGGAAATGAGGTGCTTTTGTTGGACAGGCCATAAGAAGAGATAAATTTGGCTACGTATTTTCTTTCTGCATTGAGACAGGATCGCTCGGAACTTCTCAATGATTGTATTGTAAATGAGGCAAATGTTAAGCAGGTGAAGGAAGGTTCTAGGCTTGCAAAGAGGTGTTTGATAGTAAAAGGAAAAGATAGACCAACCATGAAGGAAGTGGCAATGGAACATTGGTACTAGAAGGACTGAGAAGAGTGCAGGTAATGCATCCATGGGTTCATGATGGATCTAATCTACAAGAGACCGAGTATTTTCTCGGTGGAATATCGTCGGAAAATGTTAGCTACGGAGGACGTGAACATACGAGTTCCGGGTATGATACCATGAGGAATTACAATATACCATTACCACCAGAAAGTGGTGGGAGATGACCGGTTACATGTGGTGAACAACCCATTCGATTTTATGTATACAGGGATTCAATGCTTTTCCTACCTAGGTTTATTGCGTCTCTTCTACGGGGAACCCTACTTCTTTTCTTTTTGGTTTGCTTTGGTTTTCTTTTTGGTATGCATGAAACGATCTAATTAGACGTAGAGGCCCTTCCTAACATAGTTAGTAAATTCGTGTACATAGGTATAATATACTATACGTACTAGCATATTTTAAAAAACACTTCAATTTTTCATACACATTTCAATCATTCGTAAAATTACACGTTTTTTGTAATAGCCCGTTTCAAAAATATAGAGTAAAGTACTATTTTGACTTATGTTGGGTCTATCCATCTGGCCTAAATCCTTGGGTTGTGCCATCACTCACAAAGCCCGGCCCACACATCTTTCTTTCTTTCCCCTACCTTTTCTCCCTAATTTTTCTGAAAATCAATTTCTCTCTCTAGAGTTCCGGGAGCTCCCATTCTTCTTCATCTTCGAAACTGTAACTCATCGAAAATCTCTCAACCCCAAAACCTTGATCCCTGAGACGAGAGGAACTCACCTAAACCTTTGCATGCACCATCGGGGCAGTGGGCAGTGATCTTCCATGGAACATGAGAGCTTTGAGCTCTAGTTTTCCATATCAGGTGAGATTCACTCCTTCCCTACCTTTCTAAACTCCTAATTGTTATTGAAATGGTGATTGAGTTGAAATTGATCTCGAGCTCGTGTGTCTACGCCTGATTCTTAGATGAGAATTTCGTGTGGTGATGTTTTGATTGCAAAAAACACCCCTGGAAATGTTCCCAGTTTTTCCGGCGATTAACTCGATTTTCAGGCCGTTCTCAGGCCATTCTTCGGCCACGGCTTGGCTTATTAAAGGTATACTTCTGTTCACTGCTCTTTGGTCTTCATTTTGTTATGAATTTGGTTGAGTTTTAAGTCTAAATTGGAATTAGGAGGAATTTTCGGCCAAAAAGCCGGTGTTCTTCTTCAAGGGGTCCGGTGACTCACGAGTAACTCAAGTCGACCCAACCTACATGCCAACTCACCCCAGATTCCCCTAGCCAGAGCCCAAATGTTTTAGCCCACAACGGGCTAAGCCCAGCCCATTTAGTAATAATCTAGGCCTGAGATTTAAAATGGATTAAGCCCAATACCCAAGCCCATATGTTTAAACCCAAAACCCAGGCCCAACGAGCCAATACCCGAGCCTAGATCCGACCCAGATCCAAGCCCAGATTCGACCCGACTCGGGTCTGCCACCCATATCCACAGCGCGTGAGCGTGCGTGGAGCACACACGCCTTCGCCGAAAGGCACTGTTCTTTGCCGCCGTCCACGGTGGCGACCACGGCAACGCCGACGACTTTTCTGGCAACTTATCTTGGCGCGTGGGGTAACCCGAGGTCCATTCTTAGGTTATTTGACGTGCCAAATCTGAATCCACTATCTGTTTTCCCAAATATTAGAGTGTTAGTAGAGTTTTACTAAATGGTTTTCTAATTATGGTTAGGTGCATCGAGTGGGAGTAACACCATCCTCGTTAACTCAAGCGGCTTCCGGACAAAAGAAGACTTATGAGTGGACCCCTTCATAACTTGCATGGTTTTGTAAAATGTTAGGTTTGCATGCATTATAATTCTCATAAAATAAGCATGTTTTCAATTATGTTTTATGAATCCTATATCCATGCTTTTGAAATATTAGGATTTATCGAAATCATGTTTACTAAAGGATATGAATGATCGGATTCTCATATATGAAATTCTATGGCTTTATTCGACGTAGTTTTGAGATATGTTTTGGGTATATATCTAACGGGTTATCATACAACACATCCACACAACACGGGTATTAGATGTCTATGGCCATAGGACACAGTGATAAGGAGGAGTGAGATATATATATTATACCCCCAGCTTCACTGCCGAAAGCAGTGTTGGTGTGTGATGTTATAGATTCTTCTCTGGCGTAACCCGTAGTCGTACAGCTTCACCTTTGGGTGATGGGGCCTACCATGTTTCTTCATTGGCGTAACCCAGTGTCGTACAGTTTCACCTTCAGGTGATGGACAGGTACTGCCTTCGGGTGAGTATGATACCCATAGAGACTATAGTATTATTGAGATTTATGGATTTGTCTTCGGGCGATGATAGTACCAGTGTTGAACATTTGTTTTTACGTACATGTTTTATGGACGTATTTCATAGCATATTGGAGTTTTCAGAAAACCTATTATGTAGTATTATACATGTTTTCAAAACAGGGAGGTTATTATGTTCATAAAGGAAATGATTTTCTTATTATTAGTATTATTATAAAGTTTGGTCCACTCACCTTTTCTGTTTTGCGCCCCCTTAGGGTTTAGATTCAAGGCACATGACCTCGGCGTCAGGACCCTTCTGCGTAGTTATTCTCAAGTCTTCTTCGGATAGGTATTATTCCTTCGTATACTTTCCTATAAATTCTTCCATATGATTCTTAGTAATTGTATGCTCTAAACAAGTTCTTGCACTAGTATTTTCTTTTTAAGTACATAATTTTATTCATAGGCATGTTTAAAAATGGCTTCGCCACCTCGGGTAGGCCTGGCAAACGGGTCGTGTCTGTCGTGTTCGTGTCGTTTTCGTGTAACACCTGTTATCTTAACGGGTCGTGTCGTGTCACACCTGTTATCTTAACGGGTCCTTAACAGGTCGGGTCACTTTACCCAACGGGTAAAGTGACCCGACCCGTTATGACCCGTTAAGAAAAATATATTTTTTTCTTAAATTTGCACATACCACATATTACCATATAAATATTACTTCAAAACATTAAAACATATTTGTCATTTAAGTAATACATCTACACTAAAAAATAAGAGCCTAATAAAAAAACATTCATACACTAGTCTATTACAAAATATTAAATGTGCAAGGATATGCAAAATGAAAGAGTTTTTGTTTTATAACCATCGAAAAGTTTTGTCTCATTACTTGATCTCTGAATGTTTGTTTTTTGTGATTTTTGGTGTATGCGATCTCGAAGCATATACAAACAGATTTTTTAAATGGGTTTTGGACCAACTTGTAGAAAGCTCTCTGTTTTGTGTATTGGTTATTCAGTTTCTGGCTTTTAATTTTTGCCGTTGTGGAATGCCAAAGACATTGAAAGAGTTACTGAATTACCAGTTGTTATTTCTGTTTTACTAATGCTTTGGGGTAATGTGTGAATTGAATTCTGTTGTTTAAACTAATACGTGTTAATCACTTTCGTGTACCGTACAGAACCCCCCTTCTTCCGCGCTTCCGTATGATTTCTTCATCTGAAACTTGCAATCCAAAAAATAAACGTGAGGATTTACACAAGTCGGTGAGTATTTCCCCAACTCTTTATTCAACTTATGTTTTTTTATTCCATTTTTTTTTGGGAGTTTTAATGAAAAGGGCTTAGGGCAACTTTTTCTTAATAAAAAATCATTAACAACTTTTATTTAATGAAAAGGGCTTGACATTTAATGAAAATGACACAAGTCATACAACAGGCCAAAAAAAAAACAAAAGACCCACGGGCTGAAGCAAAGCCCAGCATGCAACATCAATTTTTTCTTCTAGCTTTGTCCCTGACAGATGTTAACCAAAATCTGTTAATATAACTTCATATTATTTACGAAATTGCCATCGAACCCAAAAGTCAAATAAAAAAAAAACTAATTCATTTTCAACTTTTTTTTTTCCTGAAACGGTTGCAATCATTCCACCAATTGAAAACCCATATCATGACAATTTTTATTCCCAATTTGATAATTTATTTTAACATTTGCTCTAAAGCTGGCAACCCACTTTTGTTACTTGAGAATAGCTAGAACAAAATAACCATTCACTAGACCATAACTACCATAGATCTATAATTAACTTTTTTTATTTACAGGTCATGTTTAACATTCTTTAGGAATAAAAATTGCCATGTTGTTTATTCCAAATATTTATTCACCTTTGACCCGAGCTTTACTGAAAAAGGTTTTTTCACACTTTTTATTAACCAAAAATCATTTACTAACTTTATTTAATAAAAAGGACTTAAACTTTAATGAACAATGACAAAAACTAGAAAGAACAACCAAAACAAGGAAGCCTCACGTGCAAAATAAGAAATTCATTTTGCATCCATGCCCCTGCCTTCCGTCAGCCCACTTTTGTTAGAATTAAATTTTCATTTATTTACAAATATGCAATTTTCTAGAGGATTCGTCAAAAATAAATAAAAAAAAAAACTTTTGCCAGTCGATACCAATTAACCCCCAACATAATTAAGTATCTCCAATTCCTCGCCTCGCCTCTCATCAAGTAAATTCAAAAAAATTTAAATTCCACAAATCACTACACAATAATGAACTTTAGATTGGAAAATGACATAATTTCACGGAGTGTATCACATTGCACATTCACTTGTATAATCCAAACTTCTACACAAATCACTACAAAATAATGAAGGTTAAAGGAAGATTTCTTGGATCAGTGAAACTTAAAGTGCGAGACTCACATCAACATTTATGATTATGTTTTTTTTTTATTATGTTTGGTCTGAATTATGTTTGGAAACTAGTTTATGATTATGTTTGGTCTGAATTATGTTTGGAAGTCTCATGCAATTGCCTTGGATCTATCTCATTATAAAATTGAACTCTTGTGTGTGTGTGTGTGTGTGTGTGTGTGTGTGTGTGTGTGTGTGTGTGTGTGTGTGTGTGTATAGTGTTCCATTTGAGAAATAATCAGTGTTTAGTTTTACAAAACAGTGATAGTACTAGTGTTCTGTTTAATAAATAGTCAGTGTTAGAGTGATAGTACTAGTGTTCCGTTTAATAAATAGTCAATGTTTAGTTTACGAAACAGTGATAGTACTAGTGTTCCGTTTGATAAATAGTTAGTGTTTAGTTTACAAAACAGTGATAATACTAGTGTTCATTTGATAAATAATCAATGTTTAGTTTACGAAACAGTGATAGTACTAGTGTTCCGTTTAAGAAATAATCAGTGTTTAGTTTACGAAACAGTGATAGTACTAGTGTTCGGTTTTAGAAATAGTCAGTGCTTAGTTTACTAGTGTTCGGTTTTAGAAATAGTCAGTGTTTAGTTCACTAGTGTTCAGTTTTAGAAATAGTCAGTGTTTAGTTTACGAAACAGTGATAGTACTGTTGTTCGTTTGATAAATAGTCAGTGTTTAGTTTACGAAATAGTGATAGTACTGTTGTTCGTTTGATAAATAGTCAGTGTTTAATTTACGAAATAGTGATAGTACTATTGTTCCGTTTAAGAAATAGTCAGTTTTTAGTTTACGAAACAGTGATAGTACTATTGTTCGTTTGATCAATAGTCAATGTTTAGTTTACGAAACAATGATAGTACTAGTGTTCCGTTTAAGAAATAGTCAGTGTTTAGTTTACGAAACAATGATAATACTAGTGTTCCGTTTGAGAAATAATCAGTGTTTTGTTTACGAAACAGTGATAGTACTAGTGTTCCGTTTAATAAATAGTCAGTGTTTAATTTACGAAACAGTGATAGTACTAGTGTTCTGTTTAAGAATTAGTCAATGTTTAGTTTACGAAACAGTGATAGTACTATTGTTCGTTTAATAAATAGTCAGTGTTTAGTTTACGAAACAATGATAGTACTAGTGTTCCGTTTAAAAAATAGTCAGTATTTAGTTTACGAAATAGTGATAGTACTAGTTCCGTTTAATAAATAGTCAGTGTTTAGTTTACGAAACAGTGATAGTACTAGTGAATCAAAGACTCTTAATATGGTGATTCGAAAAAATGGTGAATTCGAATGGAATTGAAAATGAAAATAGAGATTAGGAAGCAACGAACAATTCAACTTGTGATACGAAAGCACTCCATACTCAAGCTGTAAAGGGCTGCAAAGAAGAGACCACCGAAATAGTGGCAATATGAAAAGAAAATTTACAAAACGAAAACATAATACTAAGAATAATTGACAAGGAACAAAAACCAAAGTTGAGATGAATTGAGCTACAAGGAAAGCACTTCACCCTTGCAATTTTCCAAGATAGTTAAAAGATAAAATGTGCGCATGCATCATTGAGAGGGTTCTCGAATATACTATTCTTAAACTGAACATTATATTATTACTATTTCTTAAACTGAACCTAGAACTGAGCACGAGTACTATCATTATTTCTTAAACTGAACATGCATGAAACAAAAACACAATTACAGGGCACCTACAGATACAACAATAACACCACATAAATTTTCATGCACAAATCCATGATTTTCATTCACAAAAAGATGTCAAACCTTCCAAAAACACATGTGTGCTCAGATTATAGTCAGTGCAGTCAAATGTAATTTCTCAAACCAGACTAGACATTGAATCTACATCATAGATATAGTCGCCTAAAACCACTGCCCTACCGGAAATACCAAAAAACATGTTGGGTTTAGATACACAATGCCACTTTTTCTCATGCACATGATAGGCAAATAATCTGTTGCTAATCGAAACCAAAATATGACCGCTGCAGACTGCATAACCAGCTACAGTGTCATGTAAATTATGACAAAGATCGGGGGGAATTCTTGGCAGATCTTTCCAAGTGTCAGAACCGAGATGATAACACTGAAAGGGGCTCGACAGCTCCCCATGGACCCTTGGCTGTGCAAGGTAATAACGGTTGTCATAGGCAGAAATGAGAGCTCCACATGGTTCCAGTGAATCGGGGGCCTTGAATTTCTCCATATGGTTCCAGTGAATCGGAGGCCTTGAATTTACCTGTTAACTTGTGATGAGGGTCAAAAGTACGTCCCATAGACAACCACTTGGTGGAGGTGCCTGTTCCCAAATCGCTTTCCCATACAGGCAACAACATATATAACTTCCACTTGAACCAATGACTTAACAAGACACGACCTGAGGGGAAAATCCAACTGTATCTACCATTGTCTTGATCACCATGCTTGCCACAATCACCACCGCTGTTGGGTTGTGATACTTGATATAACTCAGCTTCCCCATTTTTATTCGTGAAACAATCCACTAATACAAAAACAGATTTAGTATCCATGAACACGAAGATGGAACAGGTTTTTACACGAAGATGGAACATATTTAGTATCCTAATTTAGTTGGATTACATAATATCAACTAAAATGGAAAATGTTTTTACAGAATAATTCTTGAAAAATAAATAAAAAAAAAACAAAGAGGAAGAAGAATTACATAATATCAATCCTAATTTAGCAACGGTTTGAGAATTTTGAGTACCTTTTTGTTGATTGATGAGGCTTCGATCGGAATCGGACTTTGAATTGGGGATTTTAGAGAGGGAAGAAGGTGAGCGGAGAGAGAGGGAGAGAGGGGGTGGACGGGAATTAGGGTGTCGAGTGTGAAAATAGATAGCAATTGGATCAATTTGTACGGGAAACGACCTACATGGGCGCAATCGCGTAGTACTTGGAGAAATTTGAAATGGAGGATCAGATGTATATCCATTACATACTTCTTTTGAATGGGCATAGTATGGAAACGACCTCCATGGGTGCAATCGCGTAGAGCTTAGCAACGACATTCGTCAAACCTAACGTTGGAGCAAGACTGATGTTACGGGGTAAAACCGGTAGTTCGATAAATTATTTTGTTTGGGCTAATCTTAATGGGCTGGTTTGACATTAGGTTTTGTCCTAACCATTAAATAAAACTATTAGCTGATTTTTGGTTAAAATTCAAAATATTGAAGCCTTTTTTATTAGTTTCCTTTCTTTTTTCCATCTTTACTTCTCTGTCCTTAGGTACCTTCCATACTCTATCACTCTCTCACTCTCTCAGATATTGCAATGAGGAAGAACACGCACTCACTCTTTTACATCTGAAAAGACAAAAACCCCTGAAATCGCTAGCCTTGAGGAACCATTTGGTAAGCATTTTCCCCGCTTCTCTCTGTCAGATTTTCTGTGTTTTCTTGGTTTTTGGGGGTTTGTTCAAGTTCTTGAGGGACCTGAGTTTCTGTTAAATGACTCTCTGGTTTCCATCTTTGACGCCGTTTGGTTCCGACTGTTTTGTTTTCTTCTTCTTTCCTGTGTTGGTCTGATTTGTGCTTTCGGATAGTCTGATAAATAATTTGTGGTTAATTTTGAAGTTTTTTATATTTTGAGCCGAGCCCTGGTTTCAGATGATTTGTCGGATTAAAATTTTCTGTAAGTGGTTTTACAGCGATTCCTTGGTGGTTAATTTCTTGGTTTCGGATTAAAAGTTTTCTGAAGGTAATTTCTTGGCGGCTTTTGTGTATACTGTAATGAATTGTGGGTGATTATGTTAGTGGCGTTGTATTTGAGCTTGGGCTTGATGGGGTTTGTTCGTGATGATTGGTTGTTGGTTATGAACTTAGAATCTTGGATTTTGTTTTTTTGATTTGGTTAATTAAATGGGATTTTGTGTAATGTACTACTACGATTAGTACTTTGTTTTTGGGTGGTGAGAAAATATGAGGAAAATCAATAAACAATTGTTGTGTTCTTTGTTGAATTTATAAGATTTGGAATCTTTATGGAAGAACAAGGAAAAAAATCTGCAAAAAAACAAGATTAGTCAAATTCTCCCACCGTTTCATTTTAAAGGCGTTTACAGCTTTAGGAACCTACTACTTAAATGGGTGTCTTTTGGGAGCTAATGAAATGGACTTGGTCAATTTTATTGATTACCGTCGAAGAAATGGATTGTCAACTGTAGACTCTAAAGCTAAGAAATGTGGCTTTTTCCAAAATTCATGCATGTCCACCATAACTAAATCAAGTAATCCGTTGTGTCCATATCTTTTTCATTCGGACCATAAATGTCTCGGAATACAGTTGGTAGATGCCCAAAACGTGTGCATTTTTCATATTTATCTTGGTTGTGTGAAAAGTTATCGATTTTACATTGTAAATGAAGTGCAATTGTAGTATACTATGGCTGCTTTCAATCACCACACTCTTTTCATTCTTTCCCTTTTTTCAATGGATCAGACAATTTGGTTCTAAGATTAGTACGTACGTAGTTATGTTTTTTTCATCTTGCAGATTTATGAACAAGGATTGGTTATTTCTCTATGGTGATTGTGTGGGTGAAGTCGGTTTCCTTTCTCCACTTTATACTGATTTCATGTAAGTTCATCTATGCCATACAATTGTTTTGGGAGTTCACTGGAATTTAATTCAATTCCTCTGTGTTTCATATTTTTGTTCGCCTCTCATTGCACACTTCCCACTTACAATTGAGATCAAATTGGTATGGTCAGATTTTTCGGGGAAAACCTTTTCTCTTCGTCCCTGCTCTATATTTTCATGTATAAATTGTCTCTTTTCTTTTTTACGTTTCAGATAGAAATTATGGGTACTCTATACGGAAAGAAAGTTATCTAGATAAACATGGAAAACGGAAGTGACTACTTGATTTCTATGGCAACTGGAAGTGGTAAGTCCTATATTTGCTTTGTATGACATTTTATTTTTGTTTGATGTGTATAATTTAATGAAATGCCTGCGAAAAACAATTATGTTGCTTGCTTGGTAGACTTTTTCTACTAAATAAAATGTTTGACAAGAAATATTCTGAGCAAAAGATGTCTGCCATTGAGAAATCCTTCTCTTTTCTTTCTTTTTTACGGAGAACTTCTTTGCATGGTTGGCTGCCGTTTCAAACTCTTCTGGTTAGATGAGTTGTACCTGCTTTACTCTTTGTAGATATAACATGAAATTTAGACATACACTTTATGCATGTATAGGTAAAAACTAAAAGAGAGAAATTATCGTTTTTATAGCTTAATCCTAATGCGGTAGTTCCTACTTTTAGGTTCCTTTGTAGTTCTGATGCATTAAAGTTTTAGAACAAACACCAGTGGAAAAATTGTTATATAGCTTTTTGCCTTTTAATTGGTGCTTTGGTTGAACCTGGTGCAGGATTTCTTGCATCTGTCATGACCAGAACCTCACCTTCAATTGAGTATGCCTACATGCCCTTTGATTTGAGTGAAAATTTATGCTCCAAAATAATAAAAGAGTAGCATGGCGTACTATGGTTCATGGACTTTAGGTAGGAACTTGTACCCAAAATCTCATGTTGATTAACGATTACATGAATAACATGCAAGTCATTACTGCACAGTAAACATGAATAACGTATAAGTCATTACTTTATGCAAAGTAAAAACAAAAAACATAAGAAATTTTTAGGATGTGGATGATATAAAGTATCTCCCTTGCACAATGCATTAAAAAGGGTAATGCTAGAGATGCCAAAATTTTAAATCAAATTGTGTAAACCAAATGATGTGGTTGTTGATGATTGGATTATTAATTAAGTGTCGATTAACATGCTTATTCCCATGTAAGCTTCTCTTACTAATTTGTCTGGATAGTCAACAAGAAAAACCCCACGAACCCATATGGGTAAATAAAATTCGTACAAGAAATTAGGAATTACAGAATATGACAACATTGAAAAGTATAAGAACTGCAAGAGTGGACAGGCAGAAGAGCAAAGGCGGAAATTACACGGTGGAATAATGCCAACATTGAATAGTATAACCTTGGAATCGTGGACGAAAGACAAAAGAGGGAATATGCAACCCAAGAGCCGAGGACTGAACCGTGAGGGTGGGGCGGGAAGACTCGGATCGATGTGATACCAAGAAAGAGGTACGCCGTGCATAAGTTTGTGAAGAATAATATAGTGGATCTTTAGCATTCCTTATTGATCTACTAATTAATGAAAAATAAGTCCAAAACAGAAACATATGGCTAATTAGTAATTTTTTATTAATTTATAGCTGATGCTAAAATCTGGGGATTTAGTTCGGTCCGAGGCTAGCTTAGGAACAGGGTAATTCTATAACTTTGACATAGTTTTGTTTGGGGTGGTTTCGTTGAGGGTATAAATCTCATGTCGGGAAATTGAAATCCTTGCACACTCTATCTAAGATGTTGAGACTCTTCCCCTATTGCTTCAAGATCAACAACGTGCAACACATGTCTTTAGCTTTCAACAAAGCTCATTTCACATATTGCCATATCAAGCCACATTAAGAAAGAAAGTTTTTGCTTTAAGCTATAATGGACTTGTAGTTCAGTTGGTTAAGATCATTCAACTCCTGCACTTGAGGTCCCAAGTTCAATTCCGCCTCCCCATTCGCTTGAATGAAGAAAGAAGAAAACCAGAGTTTAATTTGAGCTTATTATTTTTATTTTTTTGCTTATATACAAAAGCAGGCCAGGTAGAGGATTGGTTAAAGGACAAGTAATTGTTGAGTATGACTTATAGGATCAATTAGCTAATTGACTGTTGATCTGTCAAGATTAGTTTTCTGTTTCCGTTCATATGTGTGGGAAAAAAAATCACCAGTTAATCAGCCAGACATCACCGATATGTGGCCTAAGGATCCGAATGTTCAAACTGCAGTCTTGTTCACTCTAACAGAAGAGTTTAAGAAAAAATGAAAAACCTAAATATCTGAAAGTGGAACATTCATTACAATATTTAAAATTTAGAAATATAGGATTATTGTTCACCGTGACTTGAAAGGTAAGAGTGGGATTTCATGCATTTGTGATGAAGCAGCACCACCATCCACTGCAGGCCCTGTATCAGTTGAGCTTGAAATAACATCCCATGGCTCAACTGATTCAGTCCTCACATATTCAACCTCTTCGTAATTCTTTCCACCATGAGAAGTAGCCTTTCCGGCCATTTGAACCCCCTCCAGCTCTGCCGTGACCTCTCTCATTGTTGGGCGTTTTCGTCCACTTAAATTCAAGCACCTCCTTGCAAGGTTAGCAACTATTGCGATATCTGCTTTAGACCCTCCCTTCACAACTTGAGCATCAAGAATGTCAAACAGACGATCTTCCTGCATCGAAATAATGAAGTATGTAGCAAGACTTCTGCCTTGTTCTTGTGACCGGCTAAAAGAAATTGGTTTTTGTCCCGTTAATAGCTCAACAAGGACCACTCCAAAGCTATACACATCACTTTTATCCGTAAAATGGTTTGACTGGAAGTATTCCGGGTCCAAGTAACCAAATGTGCCATGTACAAGTGTGGTAAGGTGAGTTTGGTCAATGGCAACTGATCTTGAAGTTCCAAAATCGGCAACTTTTGCTCTGTATTTTGCATCCAAGAGTATGTTGGTAGACTTGATGTCCCTGTGATAAATGGGAAGGGCAGCTGAGGCGTGTAAATAGAAAAGGGCTCCTGCAATTTCTGTGGCAATTTGTAAGCGAATTTCCCATGTAAGTGGAAACTCCTCTTTCTGCTCATGGATATACTGGGAAAGTGTTCCATTCGGAATAAATTCATAAACCAAAAGCGGAACTTCAGTCTCCAAGCAGCAACCCAATAGTTGAACAACATGTCTGTGGTTGATTTGTGAAAGAATTACAACCTCATTGATGAAATCTGAAAGTTGGCTTCCATCAATAATTGTGGACTTTTTTACGGCAACAATTTTACCATCAGCCAACATGCCCTTGTACACGGTACCTTGGCCTCCATGCCCAAGAATTCTATCGACGTTGAAATTGTCGGTAGACTTCTCCAACTCCTTCGACTTGAACAACTTGATTTTCTCCACATTAACTTCACCTGAAGATAATTGTTGCTCTAATAATAAACCACCATTTCGTTTGAAGAAAACTTGCTTGCGTTTTATGTTCTTCCTTTTCTTCAGGACTTTGTGTATCCACCATGCGCTGATAAGCAGTAACAATAGTCCCACGCCCGCACCAAGACCTGCGTAACGTTAAATTGAAGTTTTATAGATTACTCTACGATAACTCACTTCCGCATCGGTACTTTCGAGTCCTCTCGGTGTAGGACTCATTCTTTTATTCATTCAATTTTATATTGTTTTTTTTTAGTGTTCTAAATTATATATGTGCTCTCAACACATTCCTTAAATGCATATTTATTATATTTTAAATTTATAAGTCTTATCTATTTCTTGTAACTAAACGATGAAAAAGATAATAAAAAATAAATAAAAGAAGAGTGGACGATTATCATCAAGATGAGTGGGTGGAAAAAGGGATCACTAGAAACTATTATTTTAACTATGGTTAACACTAGAAACTATTTCATGTGTTTATCCAGGATTTTAATCTTTGGTTTACAATTTGAAATTTGTGCTTTTCAAGTTTTTGGCTCAAAAAATTATGTCTAAATGAAATCAGTATTGTTCTATAGTGTATTCGGTATTCATTTCCTCTTAATCATAAATTTAATTAGCTGAATATTAATTACCTTAACACTTTCCTACGTGTTAACTATCAATTTACAAACGTAACAACCCTTCACAAACTCACATTTCAACCAACGTTTTTTGACACCCTAGAGGACAACTTTAACCTTTGAATTACAACTACATTAATTCTTACAATTACTACATTACCAGGTCAAAAATGAACCATTTGTTATCCCTATATGTTTGTACCTTGCTGTAAATATGATGGATACACATACATGTCTGTAAAACTTTTTACAACTTTTATACATACACTTTTAAAACCCACAGCAATGCGCGGGCACAATTACTAGTTACATTTATGTGCAAGGCGTCAATTCTTTATTAAGAAAACTGTAATACCCTGAAAATTTATATATATGAATAAGATATTCATAATTATGAATATGCAGAAAGAATCAAGAATTTATATTAATTTATTTGAGTTAGCTTCCATCTTTTGTAAGCGCTAGTAGTTATAACCATCTTTTTTTATCACATCTCTAACGAAGTTTGGATTCTTTAAAAACATGGTAGAAAAGCATTGAATCACTTGTTAGTACATATGTGCCTGCTTACCAACGACAATTGGGATAACAGAGGTCCGATCAGGGGTGCAACCTTCTCCGTCTTTTCTGCCATCACCATGGTACCCCTTGTAGCAAGAACAAGTATGGCTTCCCTCTGTATTTATACATTTTTGCATGCATGTATTGAGTTCTGGAACCTTACATTCATCAATGTCTGCAAAACAACATAATCCATGCTCAGAAATTAAGCATGGTATTTAGTTAGTAGTACTAATAAAGTGAAATAGAAATACCATGGCAGCCATTTAGGTAGGGATTCCCTTGGAAACCGTCATTGCACTTGCAGCGATACCCGGATCCATTCTCGACATCATAACACGATGCGTTGCCCTTACATGGGTGATTTTTCTTGTTAACAACGTTAGTGCAGTTCTCACTTCCAACTGACCAATCGAGTACCACCGGAAGGGATGCATTTTTTAAATAATCCGACCCCAACATATTGGAGAAGAAGTTGAACTTGCCGTCTTGGACAACGAAGGAAAAACTGCAAGGATTAAAGTAGTACACATCCGTATGATTTTTAAAACTCATTGCACTTACTTCGAAATAATTTATTCCTTGAGCAAAGCTTGTTTGACAACAGCCGAAACCATTGCAGGAACCATTGACAACGTAGTCATCAATGCCGGCACAATATGAAATGCACCCACCACTATACACGTATTTTTCATTTTTGTAGCCGTAAATGTACGAATAGGTGTCACAACCAACTGCGACATACACATTGTCGGTGTTTGATATGAAGAAACTGGAAAGATTGACAGAACTGGTGAATTCGTAAGTCAGCTGGCCTGATTTGTCGTAACATATTACGGCTGGGTATAGGGTAATGTAAAGCTTCCCATCCACGGATATGTTTGTGACTTCAGTCGAATAACTCTTCTTAAAAAATGGTTTTGGGGGTTCATAATGTGTGCTATTACAAGTAATGAGGAAATCCTCATTTAAGTAACAGCCCTTTTTTGTACCAAATGGATATGGGATGCTAACATTCCCACATTTGTCCTGACAACCCGGCTTGACTTCTACTTCACTGGGAGGAGGAGGAGAGGGAAGAGGTGGAGAGGCTAATTGTGTTTGGGCTGAAGTGGCTGCTGCTAATAGTACCTCTATTACTATTAGGAGGATGATAGGTTGCAGAAGCACTTTTTGTTTGCTCATGGTCATGGCTTCTAAGTTTTTGTTTGAAAAAAATGAGATGTTTTAGTCCTTTTAGTGGTAGGGAGGAGGAGGACTTGGAGAGGAAGACTTGGAGGGGAAGACTTGGAGAGGAAGACTTGGAGGGAAAGACTTGGAGAGTAGACTTGTGAATTGATTGAGCAAACCTTGGAGAGGATACCTGCCATAACTTAGATATGACGTGTTATTAATTTTGTTGGACGTGTTTATTTTCACAATCAGACAAAATAAAATAAATATCTTCAAACAATGTAAGTCTGACAAGAAAGCATTACCTAGTACATACACTACATTAACTATATATATATGTATACGCTAACCATTGCAACTCAGGACTGTAATTATCAGTTTATCACGTCCAACTTGGGACTTACGCTCTTCCAGATGGATCTGTAACTATACATGTTAATGAAACAAAACAAAACGTAGTTCTACAAGACACTGGGAATTAAGGTGGTTGAAAGTGTCTATTCAAAACAAGGGGGCTCACTCAAAACAAGGGAGCACGATGGCAATCACAAAGTCAAGTAATCGGAGTTATAAGGGGGCTCACTCAGGAATTGATTGGTGATGGAGCACCACCATTGACTATTCAAAACTAGGCTTATGAGTCTTAAAGGACCTACTGATTTAAGTTTCTTTCTGTTTGTCCAGGTCAAAATATAAGAACATTGGCTAAAATCACTATCCATGCTTAAAGACATGACTCGTCGACTCTGTTTAGTCAGCTATACCTGCCAAAGCTGTTGCAGCCGTTACTAATGTGTTAGGGTTTCGTTTGGTGTATCGGATTGGAATACTCACTAGACTGGAAGTATGTTTAATGAAGAACTTAATGTAAACATTAAAGTATCTATGTGTTGAAGGTAAAAGATGAAATAGTGTTGAAGGTGAAAGATGAATTAGTCACAAAGTTTGAATAAGAGATTTGAGCAAGTGACCCTTTACTACAATGGTGATGAAATGAAGTTCCACCATAAAATCAATTGGCAATATGGGGAGTAACTCAAGACCATATAAGCTCATAGCTAAGTCAATCCATGACCGATGTGAGACAAATTGTCCATACATCATCAGCTCTCAACACGCTCCCACAAGTGTGGTCAATTTTCAAGCCTACACATGGACAACAATTGGGTGACGCTTGAGCACGTGTGGCCCTTTTGGGCTTTCATACAAGGGACAAGTCGCTCTGATACCATGATGAAATTGAGGTTTCACCATAAAACCAAATGGCAATATGAGGAGTAGCCTAAGACCATATAAGCTCATAGCTAAGTCAATCCCTCACCGATGTGAGACAAATTGTCCACACATCATCAACTCTCAATAAGTGTTGGAAAGACATTGAGCCCTTGCATGACAGAGTGGGTTCAAACCCCATCGGAGCTAATCTAACATCTAATCTAACAAAATCTATTATTTGATAAAAAAAAATTAAAATAAAAAAAAACAAAAAAAAAAAAAAAGAAGAGAGGGATTGGAAATCGATTATGCTAGGCTGATCAACCAAATTAATTAATTTTCTGTTGAGCCAATGTAAATTGTGATGGATTTTATCATCTTGTTTCATTCGTTTTGAAGAATTCAAACCGTGACCTTTATTTTATTATGTCTTTAGTCTAGTAGTTGTTTTCACTTGATTGAAGGATCTCCATGTTTGAACGTAACTAATTGGACTTAACTAATTAATAGTCTTTCCGCACGCGCTCACATGCATGCGAGAGATATTTTTGCATCACGGGTGTTGCAAGCTCCAAAAATGTGTTGCTTTATATAATTCTTATATTTCTTAAGTGATTATTTTATAAATTGTGTGTATGCGCACATCATAACAGTTATTATTTTCTTTTTCAATCATCTCCTTACAATATCATACCTCATGTTTGAAAAACTACAATCTCATACATCATCTTAAGTAGGGGTGGGTTCGGTTTAAATCGGTTCGGTTTTTTGCCAAAACCGAAACCAAACCGAAATTTCGGTTCGGTTCGGTTCGGTTCATTTTTTTTTCGGTTTTTTTCGGTTCGGTTTTTTTTCGGTTCGGTTTCGGTTTTTTGTTTTTTTTTTTTTCAAAAAATGAAAAACATTGAAATTTTAAATTTTAACATATCCAACACAATCATAACATAAGCATTCTAACTAGAATCAAAGACAATGAAAATAATCATTTAAAATTGAACTAAAATCATCAATCAAGTCTTCCAAAGTCCAAACTAACAACCTCACAACACAAAAATCGTACAAATGACTTAGAAAAGTTAAATTGTATGATGTTGTTCAAAGATCAAGGTTGTTTGCTTGTAATTGCATGTTGACAACTTGATTAGTAAAAATAATGCGTGGGTAGATTTATTTAGTGTGTGTTAGATTCTTTTCCATCACAAATTACCCAAGTAATCTACCCGAAATAAATGTTTATGGATTCTGTTACATGTTATATGAGAGTAGATTTGGAAAAGAAAGCTATGGCAGAAGTAGGCAGTGCTATGGAGATGGATGTAAGTACTTCTGGAGGAGGTTTGGTTCCAGAACCTTATATGGGAGATAAATAATAGGTTAGGGTTTAGAGTTTTTATAGGCTTTTTTAAATATTTTGAGCTTAAAGTTTGGCAACACATTGGGTTTAGCACATTTTAACTTACAAATTGGGTTTAGAAAATAATACCCAAAACAAATAATTAAATAAAAAATTTAATTTAATTAATTCGGTTCGATTCGGTTTAGTTCGGTTTCTAGAGCACTAAAACCAAACCGAACCAAAAGAATTCGGTTCGGTTCGGTTTTTTCAATTCGGTTCGGTTTTTTCGTTCGGTTCGGTTTTTTCGGTTTCGGTTCGGTTTGGTTTTCGGTTTTCGGTTTTTTGAACCCACCCCTAATCTTAAGAATTCGTTTCAATGTCATATCTCCATTAATTTTTATGTTAAATACTACCGTGGCTTGAGATTGACCCCATTCTCTAATCCAAATGCATTAAAAATTTAATTAAATATTAAAAAACTAAAATCATAAATTTATTTAAATATTTTTAATAAAAAAAGTGGGACCCATCCCTACAAACTCATCATACTCACCAAATTAATCTTTGTAACCAAACACCCACAATCTCCATGCCAATTTCAAACAGAAAACCCCAATTCCCCCTAAACCCTAACCCTAAATTTCAAATTGTTAGCCCCAATCACCACCACTGCCATCGTCCCTAGCCTCCGTTAAGAAGACCCAGCCACTGCTGTGGACCCAAGAGAAGACGGTGCAGCTAAGGAGGGTCGAGCAGAACTCGAGTCAGTGGGAGGATTTGGTGGTGACCATGGCGACCAGGTGCAGCTACGACTACGGCGAGCCGTCGAAATCCACACGCAATACCGCCACAAGATGGAGAAGCTCCTGTAGAGACACCGCACCATGAAGAAGCGCCTCGGACAGAGAACCAATTCCGGCCAGAAAACCAGAGCTCCTCGGGCCATGCCCATCTCTGCTATGCCCATGGAGGAGATGCCACATCAACAAGAAAAAGAAGAAGAGATGGAGAGATTATTCGAAAATGCCTCGTTTTTGCAATGACTGGCGGCAACATCAAAGTTAAAGAGAGGGAGAGAGGCGGTGGGGGACGGCGAGTGGAGATGAGAAAGGAAACAGAGAAGTGTGGAGTGGAGTTGGAGAAGAGGAGGGTTGTGAGGGTGTTTGGTTACAAAGATTAATTTGGTGAGGATGATGAGTTTGTAGGGGTGGGTCCCACTTTTCTAAATAAAAATATTTAAATAAATTATGATTTAATTTTTTAATATGTAATTAATTTTTAATGCATTTAGACTAAAAAGTGGGGCCCATCTTGAGCCACGTCAGCATTTAATAAAAAAAATTGTATGACATTAAAACGAATTCTTAAGATGAGATAAGACATTGTAATTTTCAAACATAAGATATGATATTGTGGTTCGACTTATAATTGAGGTGGTTTTTTGTAATTTACCTTATTTTTTATCTCTACAGTTGAGTTACAACGATTATTATGACCTTGATTTATACTTAATGCACATGCGAGATGTTTTTTTTCAAAGCGTCCCTTAAGACATATTGTGTTAGTTGTTTTCTTTCTTATACAAATTTTTACTTATTGAAAATATAAAATATGAAATTTATTAAACTATTGTATTATGATTCAATTCAAAATTTATTAAACTACTATATTATGATTGAATTCAACAATTGCACATTTACATAATAAGGGCACACCTCTTATTAAATTAAAGAGATACAAACAACTTTTGAATTAATCTAACATCTCCTTCCACGTTGCTTTGACATTTTTATCCTATCTAAGATCCCACCTACGATCAAATAAACTTCTTCATAAAAAAAGGTCATGAGAAGTCTTGCATTGTAGTCCAAGAAACCAACTGAATCAATTTTAGAGATACTTGCAAGCTTTCAGCCAAAAACACGACAATATTATAGGGAACTAGAATTACCTACAGCTGTCATGTTGAGGAAAGCTTTAAATTGAATGCCAACGGCTCCTGGTCATTTTTTCATCTTGACACTGTATGGAAAGCTTACAACATAATATAATTGAAAAAGTTGCAGAACAATCGTGAACTCAAATGGTTGCTGAAGTTTTTTCTTAATTTTCAAACGCTTTAGTTTGTCAAATTCACAATTTGCATTATACGTACTTCTGCAACAACATAATGCATTACAATTAGAAAATACTGTTGATGCACAAAATCAGTGAGGACTTTGGTACAACAGAAAATGTCAAGTTTGTGACCTTCGATAAATCGCTCCAGTCACTAGTGTGGATAAATATGTAAATGGATATAGACAGGGGAGCAAACACAAGATGTACGTGGTTCACCTAGATTGGCTACGTCCACGGAGTAGAGAAGTTCTCATTAATTGTGAAGGGTTTACACAAGTACATAGGTTCAAGCTCTCCTTTAGTGAGTACTAGTGAATGATTTAGTACAAATGACATTAGGAAATATTGTAGGAGAATGATCTCCTTTTATAAAAGAGAGTT